TTCTGGTGCCGCTCCAGCAGTGACCGCGGGCAGAACAGGGACCATCCCAAACCATCCCAAATCCCAAAAAACCACCCCAAATCCCATATAAACCATCCCAAACCCCAATAAATGACCCCAAAATCCTAAAAAAAATCCCAATAAATCCCAAAAAATCCTTTACCTGTCCTGGCACTGCTCATTCTGGTGCCGCTCCAGCAGTGACCGCGGGCAGAACAGGGACCATCCCAAACCATCCCAAATCCCAATAAACCACCCCAAATCCCATATAAACCATCCCAAACCCCAATAAATGACCCCAAAATACGCCAAAATCGTAAAAAAATTCCAAAAAAATCCTTTACCTGTCCTGACACTGCTCCTTCTGGTGCCGCTCCAGCAGTGACCGCGGGCAGAACAGGGACCATCCCAAACCGTCCCAAATCCCAATAAACCACCCCAAATCCCAATAAATGACCCCAAAATCCTAAAAAAATCCCAAAAAATCCCAAGAAATCCCAAAAAATCCCAAAAAATCCCTCACCTGTCCTGGAACGCTTCCTTCTGGTGCCGCTCCAGCAGTGACCGCGGGCAGAACAGGGACCATCCCAAACCATCCCAAATCCCATATAAACCATCCCAAACCCCAATAAATGACCCCAAATCCCAATAAACGACCCCAAATGTGTCACGTGTCCTGGCACTGCTCATTCTGGTGCCGCTCCAGCAGTGACCGCGGGAATTGGCGGGCGCAGAAGCCGCACTCGGCCGGCAGTTCAGTGACCATATAAACCATCCCAAACCCCAATAAATCCCATATAAATCACCCCAAACCCCAATAAATCCCATATAAACCATCCCAAACCCCAATAAATGACCCCAAAATCCTAAAAAAATCCCAAAAAATCCCAAAAAATCCTAAAAAATCCCAAAAAATCCCAAAAAATCCCTGACCTGTCCTGGAACTCCTCCTTCTGGTGCCGCTCCAGCAGTGACCGCGGGTAGAACAGGGACCATCCCAAACCACCCCAAATCCCAATAAATCACCCCAAATTCCATATAAACCATCCCAAACCCCAATAAATTACTCCAAAATCCTAAAAAATCCCAAAAAATCCCTGACCTGTCCTGGAACTCCTCCTTCTGGCGCTGCTCCAGCAGTGACCGCGGGCAGAACAGGGACCATCCCAAACCATCCCAAATCCAAATAAATCACCCCAAATCCCATATAAACCATCTCAAACCCCAATAAATGACCCCAAAATCCTAAAAAAATCCCAAAAAATCCCAAAAAAAATCCCAAAAAATCCTAAAAAATCCCAAAAAATCCCAAAAAATCCCCAAAAAAC